CAAAGCTGCCAGGGAAGCGTGCAACTTTCTGCACACTTTTCAAAAAGCCTTTAAAAGGAAAATGATGCTAGAGAGTTTAATAGGCTGGGAAGACAAAAAAGGCCAGCAAGCAGTCTGAGCATTTGCCTCCCACTGTTTCATTGGGCAGTTCTCCACATGCCTGTAATTCAGCTGCCTGGAAACAGGCTCTGCTGAGCCACCTCAGGACACCAACACATCCCTTGCCAGAGATGGGTCCAGACAGAGAGAAGCAACACCAAGCTTGCCAGGTGCTGTGTCTACAGTAAGAAAGAGCCTTGCCATGACTCAGGAGACGTTTGCTCAGGCACAGCGCTGGACTAGCATGTGCCTGGCGGGTGGAGAAGGGGCAGTTCCCGTGTGCCTGCCTGGCACTGGCTGTGCAGCCATACCCATCTTTGGCCCTGGGCACCCACATCCCGAGGAGACCATCTGATCAGCTGTGAGCACAAATAAAGTCAGAGGAGATGCTGCTGGCAGCTGGCAAGGGGTTGTGGCCTGTGTACTTGTTCCATAAGCACAGTGAAAAGCAATGCAAGTAGCAGCAGGGGAGAGCTGCTTTCTTGTCAGGACAGCAACTCTGCCTGATAATTTAACTTGGTGAGTAGACATAGTTGGCAGTCAGATTATTGTGATGAGGGATATGTGGCAACCAGTCTTTAGGTCTGTACTATGACTTTTAGCAGCTAAGATGTAGGAAAACTTATACTGATACGGTAGGAATCAAAATAGAGATGCCTCATTTCATGCCAATGATTACCTAATACTAGATGCAATTTTCCCTGTCTGTACTTCTGTCTTGGTTATAACTCATACTTCCATTTTTTTTCTTTTTTTTTGAGAATCCCTAAAGTTTATATGCCAGGTCCATATACTATAAAATGTGCAAATTTTCAGAACTTACACATTTTAAGTTTAAAGTGGCTCGTGATGAATCGGAACAAAATACACAAATGCTGCATGACCTCCTTTGAAAGCCAGTAAGACAGGTTTGTCTGATAGAATCTCATTTGTGTGTATCAGGCCCTGACTGTTTTTTTGTGATAATTCAGGGATGCATTTATGGGCTTAGCTCACGAGGGTTGTCAAGACTGAGATGTTGCAAGCGATTTATCATAGTGCATTTAGTGGATGATAATGCTGTTTCCAAAAGATTACATGGAGAAAGGAAAAAAATACATTCCTGAACAGGGCAGTTTTGAGCACTTTGAGTCAAGTAGACAACTTAATTTTTCAGGTTTTCTTCTATCCAGACAACTCAAAGGGCTTTTTAGCATTTCCAGTCTCCTACTTGCTGAAGTGTAAGAGGTCAGCACACACTCATTTGGCATGGGTTCATGGGCTTCTTGTGGTGTTTTATCCTATTTTTAAAAAGTCAGTACAAATTGCAAAGTCAGAGCAATAGTGGTTCAGCTTACCCCAGTGACTTTTATCTGAGTTTCCCACCTAAATCAAACTGTACTTTTCTAAGCAGTTCTGAGCAGTGTGCTGAGGTCCTGCTACAACATCAGCTTATTTCTTCTGTCTTTCAATGCCTTCTCTGACTCCCTCAATTCCCACAGGAGCTTTTTGGCCATTTCTACCCCACGTTTTCCCCAGGCCCCAGCTCTGGGATGGGCAAGAGATGGGGTCTCACAGCTGGGGGGCTGTGACCAGCTGTCTGGGGCACATCAGCTGTGAGGTCCTGTGGGATGCTACCCCATGGCCCTTTCCTCCGCCAGGTTGGCATTTATTTTGACATGCAGGAATAAAGGGTTTTTAAAGCAGCTCAGATGACCTAGACGTTGATGATGTGAACTTGTAATGTCCAGTGTTCTGAGTATAACACAGTTAGTTCATAATCTTCCTGTATCAACAGCTTAATCCAGTGCCACCAGCAGAGCAGTCACAGAGGGGCTGGACTCTTCAGTACAGATGAGAAAAATTTAGTGATGTTTTCATTATCTGGCTAATTTGTATTTATGATGTTCTCTGACTTTCTGACGTGCTGGTAAGGTTTATCTTCTCTTAAGCTGTCCACTTAAAGAAGTGAGGAAGGAAAATCTAAACACTCTAAATACATCAAGGCCCCAACGTAATTAAAATCAAGGCATCACAAATTCTGGTTTAGGGTAACAGGAGATACCAGAAGATAAGCAGTGTGACTGAAACACAGTATTTATGGTGAACAATGCATTAAATGAAAATCACATAGTATTGATCTTTTATATCAGCACTGTTTGCCTGCGTATCCTTGAAGAGCTCCTTTTGAAGTTGTCACTGGATAATGAAGATCATGTTATGGAGGGGCAGGCCAGCAGTTGTGATTGGATTGAATTGCTTTGCTTCAGGTCAAGCTTTATGGGTTCATTTTTGAAGCCCATGGTTCTGCTCTGACCCTGAGCACCCAGTGCTCCAAGGCTGCAGCTGGCATCAGCAGGGCTGCTTGCCCCAGTGTTTACTCCTAATCCAAAGCCACCACAGCCTCTCCAGCTGGATCTGGGCCAGGGCAGGGAGAGCAGCACGACAGGACTGCCCACATCCCATCCCCACCGCAGCCTCCCTGCAGGGCACGTGCTCCACTGCTCGGCTCTTGCCCACCAGGAAGGGCTTTCTTTTCTACTTGGCTGGATGCTTGGAGACTCCCAAAGCTGAGATACAGATCACTAGGTTAGCAGAGCAGGCTGCTTGCAGCTTTGAAGGGAAATTTAAACGAACCATAAAGCCTCAGTTAATTATTTTTCTTTGCTGCTGTTTTTTTTTTTCACTGCTGCTGACAGCGGATTTACCTCTGCCCTCTCTCACAGGGATATTGCTGTTCCTAATGCTTCTGTAAAACCCGCTTGTTTTCTCAGCAGGAAAACGAAACTTTTCTGTTTTCCTTTCATGTTTATCCTTCCTTTATCTTTTTTGAGACATCAGCCAGCCTCACAAGCAGTCCTTTCAGTAGCTGGAGGCTACAGCCTCAGTGAAGAGAGTACAAAGGCAACCCTCGATGCTACTCTGGCCCCTCACACTGCCCAGACCCAGCGCACTGCTTTTCCTCACAAACCCTCCCCTGGGCGGCAGGGTGCTGGGAGACCAAAAGCTTTGGTTTTCATTTAGTCACAGCCCTTGAAGTCAGGGTGGCTTCTCAAAGCACCACACATCCTTTTCATGTATCTGAACTCCTGCAGGGTCTGATTTTGATCCAGAGGTTGTGAAGGAAGGGTTGGAATTGCAGCGACACAGTAGGAGCAGTTACATGTTCGATTTGTGCTGCCTGCGGCCCCCTGCTCTTTGTACAGCAGCGATGGAGAAATCTTCCCTTCGAGCCGTGTTACTTGGTACGAAAGGAAAATCCTGCCCAGGGTTTGGGGCTCCTTGCTCTGTCTGTAGTGAGGTTTGTAGGACCACCTCTCTGGCAAGCCTCGTGTGCCCTCTAGCTGCTGCAGGCTTCCTGGGGAACTCAGACGTGTTCATTTTCTGTGAGCATTGCTGAATTTTGCAGGCAGGACTTGAAAGCAAATTCTTCAATAATTGCAGTTAGACGAGCAATACAGACCAAGAGGCAGATTGCAGTCCTTGCTGCCTTGTTTGCCCTGTAACGATCTGACAGATAAAAGTTGTACTTGCTGCCCAGGCAGAGAACTTGTTGCCTATTTGCCTACAATTTGCATGTTCAGGTGAAGCAAGGAGGACTGACATGTCAGCAGAATGACTCCTCTGGCATCTAGTATGATGGAACGTGGAAATATGCTGTGGGGCAGGGATCCAAGAGTTAAGAGAGTTGTTGGTGGTTTTTTTGTTTTTATTTTGTAATTTTTGCAGAAGCCTTTTTGTGAGAGTTTTCTCTGCCAAGTGCAAATTGCTGCCAGCTCAGAGGCATGGTTGGCTGAGGTGCTGGTGGCTCTGAGTGCCTTGTGCTGTCCCGAAGGGATCCAGCCAAAATGTAAGAGCTGTTCCTGCTCCAGCTGCCTTGGAAAACAAAGATATGTAAAGGCATGGAGGGTGGGAAAGCACTGCTTGTGGTGGTTGGAGGCCAGTGGGCACTGCCTGTGGGCCCAACAGCTTGAACAAGCCATGAAGTGGCTGGGGTGGTGGTGGTGGTGTAGTGTTGGGGGGCAGGGGCAGGGCCCCTCAGGCAGCCACAGCTGTGGTGATGGGCACAGGTGGAGGTTGTCTGCAGAGATGATGGGCACAAGTGGAGCTTGTGTGAGACAATGGGCACATCTGCAGTGCCAAGGCCAGGCTGACTCTTCTGGGGTGCTGGGAAGGGCTGTGGGGCTGGTCCCAGCAAGTAGAGTAAGAAAGCCTTAAATCACAGCATTATCCAGACCTTGTTGTGGCTTCTGGAGAGGGGAATGTGCTAAACAACTGCACAGTTTTTTAACTGGCATTCCCTCTGCTAAGGAAGAGGGAATGATCTCTGCCATCTGTGCTGCACCAGCAGTACAGTGTGTTGATGGAGTAACTCCTTCTTTTCTAGTGCTCCACCAAGTGTGTCTGTCTCAGCACCTGTGTTTTTTTTTGCCTTGTGTGTTTTGGGATTTTTTGTATGTACCTACTGAATTTGTATTAAAAATCTCCCCCAATTAGATTTAACTTCAACATTACTTGTTTCCTTGTGGCTTATTTCCCAGGAGAGGCTTAGTATCTGAAAGAATTATAAAGAAGGTGTTGAGCTTAGCTGTATCCTCATCTTCCACATTCTAAAGACTGGATGGATCCTTGCTTGTGTGTTTGCCAAAATAATTGTGCAGGTGTTACACAAACACGTAACAATAATATGTATTCACTGTGGACCATCTCAAAATATTTTGCTTGCTGCTGCTAGCAGGCAGAGTGGACAGCAGGTAGCATGAATGTCTGCAAACCTGCACTGCAAAAACCCACTGAAAAGTAAATAGCACACACAGGATCAGTGTGCTTCAGGAAGCTGTGGCATTGTGTGTGTCAGGTGCCATGGAAACATCTCCTGATGGTAACACAGCCCTCAGCTTGTGCAGGGTGCCTCCGGAGGGAAGTGCCGGCTACAAGGAATATACTTTTACTAGCAGTTAATTTCTACCTTCCACAAAATCTGGAGTGAAACCACCGATTAGGATGGTGCCTAGCAATTATGCTGTGATCAGTTAATTGCAGAGGAACAGCCCAATGGCTGCAATCGGTTTTGGCTGGATTGCATGGATCTGTGAGGGCAAGAAAGGTGATGGTGTCTTCTGAGCACAGAGCTGAAAGACTGGCACTCTGCTGCAGTCTAACATGGGAGCAGGTGCCTCCCTCTCAATTTGCGTAAGTGAACTTAAATCTGGCTTCTTTGGTCCTTTTTTTACATCCTTTCTCCTTTCTGAGAAGGCTATGCTTCTTCCCCTGATGGACTGCCGCATCTGAAGAGGGAAAGGGGAAGGATTTAGAATAGCACTGGATAGATGTTTTAGAGTTTTCTGTACCACCTCGCAGCTTATATACAAAAATGCCATAAAATAAGGATTTGCTACATGCTGATATTAGTTCCTTTCAGGTAATTATCAATGCTATAACATTAACATCATGTTCTAAGCTTACTTATGTACTTTAAGAGCAAAATGGCTTCAGGTGTTTCAAGTGGTGTGTGTGTGTGCTTGCCATGGCAGCACGGCTGGCCTGGAGCTCCAGCTTGTGGCTTTGCTGCAGGCATGTGTGAAAAACAGCTTCACTACAGCAGTTCAGCTACAAATCCATAGGAAAATATTTCATTTTTCCTTCTGAGAACACAGTAATAAAAACATTTAAGAAGAGGCAGGTTTTACAATGGGTTGGGATAATGCTAAAAAAGGAAATTAAAATCCCACCTTAAAATGAGATGTGGATACTGATTAAATCTTCCTGGTACGGAACTGGTAGATCTTAATTTGGACTTCTAGTGGCACTGGGTCCTCTCCTGCATGACTGTGAGCATTACTGCCCGATAGGAACACGAGGACAGAGCAAGCACCGTGGGTAATGTCACCTGCCTGTGAGGCAAGCAGGGGGTAGGAGAGCAGGGAAAGAGAACAGGGGAGCTACAACTGTTTTTGGAGTGGCCAGGTAGCACTTCTCCTTTCTTAAATGTCCCTGGGGCATGATGTTCCTAAATATACACTCAAGTTACATATTCTGAATATATCTAAATATATATTTATATCTCTATTCTTACATACATCCCCTGAGGTGCCACCTGAAGGGCTACAGAACTGGTTTGAACCTTCTGTGCCCCCCCAGGGCAGCCCATCATGTTCTCACAGAGACTGTGCTGGGACAGGCACCCCCTGTGATATCCCACGTGTCTCCCAGCCCAAGAACTGGACAGCATCTCTGTCCTCACAGGATGAAAAAGCAGCTCCCAGGTGCAGGTTGTTCATGATTTCTCACATACCTTTTTGCATCAGTTATTGGGGTAAGAAACTCAGGGTTACTGGGTGAGCAGACAGGAACCCTTGGCCAGGCTCGAGCTGTGGCTGCTGCTTCAATTTATCCTCTGGTCCCTCTGTGTATCTTGCAATCTCTGAGAAGTGGGTAGAAATTCACAAATTTCATGGGGTTAGAAGGCTGTGCACCAGCAATGGGTAGGGTTTTTTTGACTATTGGGGCTCTTTTGAGGAATAATGACCTCTCCATGTCCTAAACAGGGCATCTGCCTTGACCTGAGGTCCCATTTTCCCTGACTGTAGGTATGAATGGGTTTAACTGGGATTTACCCTATCACAGATCCTGTTTCAGCTCTACAGGAGAAGAATGGTAGTATCAGTATTTTAAGAATATGCAGTAGAAATACAATTTGTACTGAAATGCTACCATAAGGACAGTAATTTCACCTAAGCTGTAGACCCTTGGACCTTAAAACAAGAAAAACCCAGTCTCAGCTTATAACTTGCCTGGTTTTGTTCCCCAGAGATCATTCTCTTCTATTCAAGTCAGGCACACAACAAATAAAGTTTCACCAGACCTACAGTTCAGCAGAGAAAGAAGCACATTTGGTGTTCCTCTGGAAACCCTCATGCAGGGTGCAACACAATGTGGGGTTCCTTCTCTCGTGACACAGATGGTGGAGTACCTAGAGGTGTTTGGTAAGTTCATGTTTTCCCTATTTGGCCTCTGAAAACTGTTATTCTTTGTTTAAGCAGTATTTTTTAGCTCCATGTGCTGAAAAATCTATACTTACAATTATTATGCTTTCTTAAAGAAGCTTTTTGAGCTTCATCAAAAAATGAGTTTTGAGTTTTCATCACACAGATATAATAATGCAACCACTGCTTACTGTTTTCTATTTCTTAAGCAGGTCTGGAGCATGTTGGTATATTTAGAATTGGTGGTTCAGCAAATAAAATCAAGGAATTAAAGCAGAAATACAATCAAGGAGAAGAAGTGGACCTTATTAACGATGGAGATGTTGATTCTGTGGCCAGTCTTCTGAAGCTCTTTCTGAAAGAACTACCAGTGGCTGTTTTTCCAGACAACATTTGTTCTGGCTTGCTAAAAACTTTCCAAGGTACAGAACGGGCACCTTCCAGGCTTTTGTCCTTTCTCTGACAGTGACAGATAATGTGTTCATTGCTCTTTCTCTAAGCAAGGTTTTATGTTTCCTTAACCAGAGGCTGATGTTTAGTTGCTTTTGATGGACCAGGTTTCTATGAACTTGTCTGTAGTCTTTTTTTTTAATTCATAACAGCTTTTGGACTCCCCATCATCCTGTGGCAATGCAACTTGCAATCCAATCCTTTATTCTCTGAGAAAGTACCCCTCTGCATGCTCTCTTTTTAAATTGTATACATTAATTGTTACTGAGATAACATTTTTATTTTTAATGTAATCCCCATCATAATGCTGCTTTTGTCTTTATATACCCACTGCCTCACTTCTCTCTTTTCCAAGCTGAGACCTCTTTCTCTATGTAACCTTCCCTGGTACAGGAACTCTTTTGTACCTCCCTGTTCTTACTTAGAGCTTTATTTTTATTTTTAGTTAATATTTATTTTACTAATCCTCTTATAATCTTCTTGGACAGCAGTGTGTGGAGCAGCATGAAGCTTCGAAAATGCAAAGCCAAGACCAGTACTTGCAGCAATACAGTGCCTAGTTCCCCATTATATCTATAATGGCTGAGCTAATGTTTTCAGACAATTCTACCCAGTGACTTTGACTGATGACTAATTCAGGTGTTTACAGACAAATAAGTGGATTAGATTGCAAGTTGCTTTTGTTCAAGGTGCCAGTGTAGGTGTTTACAAAGAAAAAGGAAAGAAAAAGAAAGGAATCAGCTTCATGAAGTGTGAAAACCTATGCTGAAAGATCTATGGTTTTTTGAGAGCACTTTGTTTTGCCTACTCCTAACTGTCTTGCTGTTATTTTTAAAATATTTTTATGTTTTTTTCCCCCTCTCCATCCTCTTTTCCATTTCTCTCATTAGTCAGTTGGGCACCATGGGCCTTAGCCTGTACAAAATGTATTTTTTAGGGCTAAAATTACCCTTCAGGGCATGATTTGCTATTCACAATGTCAAAGCTATGCAGATGTGTCCTGGTGATCTATGGCAAATTCAAGCATCAGCTGCCAATTATTGAGTAGTACTGTCATCTCCATTCTAATAACCAGGAGACTTCATCATGCTAATTCTGAACTGCTGATCAAATGGAGTTGTTTTTGAACCCATTTTCTGCCTTGTTACCCTTCTTTAAAGAATGAGAACCAAGAAAATGCTAAGTATCCCCAATTTAGATTTTTAAGCATCTCTTGTGGAGCTACAGTTGCATATTTATAGAGCAAAGATGTTTTCAGTCTGAGAGCTACCAATTAGTCAGGAAATGAAGATGATGTGGGGCTGAAAGGGTACAATTTCTTTTTTCCCTTAATGAGAATCGTGCAGCATGTGTAAAATCTCTCTGGAGAGTTAAGGCTGACAACCTTGTATCATCTTTAAAGGCATCTTTAAGGATTCAGGTACATGACTACTGCCTGCAATTCCATTAAGAAAGCAACAAGTGCTGGATAATTCTGTCATAACAGGAAGAATAGCAGAAACAGTGCACATAAAACTTGATATCTGGAAAATCCATGGTACTTAAATATTCATTTTTGGAAATTGTTGACAAAATTTAGCCTACAGATTATTTGTTTGGGACATATTTATTCTTCACTTTAATATATTTTAAACTGTCTCTCTTTCTTAGATCTATAGTAATATCTATGATGAAATGGTGTTGATATTAGGAATGTCTGCCATAATTTTTTTTCCTCCCACCAGAGCACAAAATCAACACAACAGAATGCATAGAGAACCTGAGACAGTTGCTCAGCTGCCTACCCAAAGCCCACCAAAACCTTCTTCAGTTCCTGGCTGCTTTCCTGTTCAAGGTAGCAACGCACAGTGCAGTGAACTTCATGACTCTGGAAAACCTCTCCATCGTGTTTGGACCTGCTCTGTTCAAGTGAGTACTCCCTACTCACCCACCTCAAACAGTCCTGCCAGGTCACACTTGACAATGAAGCTTTTTGTCATAGCTCTGTGTCCAATAGTAAGTGGAGCACTTTGGAAGTTAAACGTTTATGCAGTACATTATGGGCAGATGTGACAGGTTCTGAGCTGGCTGACCACCTTCATTCTGTTAGGCACTGACCAGGCAGGTCCAGCCTCAAGAAAGAAAACCTCTGAAGAGAAGAAATATGACAGGAGGAGAGCTGTTTAATGAGAACTACTCCTCTTTTCTTAGCCAGTTGAAGTGCAGGCTCCTTGGTTGTTAGACTTGATTCTGAAAAGCTAATGCTGACTTTGACCTTGTAATAGAATTAGGTAACAGAGAAATAAAGATAAATTGTTTATCAAGAATGAGAAGCAACTCATTCTGCCCTTGCCACTAAAATGACATCCAGGCAGAGGCCCCCTGAGCTTGCAAGCAGTGACTGCTTGGCTGAAGCTAGAGAAATCATGTTTGGGATGATGGCGAGTGGGCACAAACCTGGATGCTCAAAAGGAAAGGCTGGACAACATGCCATGCAAGTCAAGATGACAAGAAGGAACAGCCTAGTGTGATCATATAATGGAGGAAACTGGAACGGTTTAGTTCTTTATTCTATCCTTCATTGTAGACACTAGAGGATGTTAAAATATTTATACCTGTTACCATTTATAAACCTTTGTTTTAGTGGATTATAGCCATGCCAGCTTAATGTGAACTATGAGCCTGTGCCACTCTGCAAAATGTATGTGTTAGCAATTAGTATCTTCCATGCAATAAAAAAAGCCTTATTCTTCTTTTTTTTCTGTGTGTGGCAAGCAAAGTTCATTGAAAAGTATGTATTCAGCAAAATTCATACCAAGCATATTGGAAATCAGTGACAGACTTTGTTTTGGGGAGCTGTACTCTCGCTGCTGTTTCATAAGCCTCTGTGTTTTGTATCTGCTTACCTGCTCTGTGGGCTTATTGCCAGGTGTACCAACATATGATCTTTTCAGGTTATATAAGTTTATATCTTTAGTGAAAGTACAGCCACGGAGACAAACCTAACAACATGTGGCGTGGTAGGAGTTACGCAATTTGCTCCTGTGAGAAGAGAATTCACCATGCAGGGTACTCACTAATGGGACAAGGCAGTTTTGCAACCAAACCCCAAGTTCCTTAACCTCTGCATGCTAGTTAGTAAATGAGAGTAGACAGATAAGGTTTATTTCCCAGCTTCTGGATTAGTTTTATGGTGCTATAGTTATAAACAGGTAGAAGGCTGATGCTAAAAGGCGTTCACCAACAGTCTATCCCTTGACCTCTACCCTAACTCAAAAAGGGCTTCACTGACGGTCGCTCTTCTGCCATCAGGAGACCTTTGCTATCACCTGGGGATTCTGTGCATGCACACACACGCAAGAAGACTTAATTCCTTTATTTCCATTCCCACCTTGTCTGTGTGCCCACTGATTTCTGTATCTACACATGAGAATCCAGTATGCTCCCTTTATTGGCTGTTGGGCTGCTTCAGTTTTTAAACATCCCACTCTTTTGGGACATGGTCTAGCTACTTCTGAACATGTCCCCCTGTCTGGTTTGTAAAATACCCTTAGTGCTAAAGAAAGTGTTTGTGGCAATGATCCCTCTAAGAAGCTTTGAAAGCAATCAACATTGTGTTTCCCTGCTACTGACTTGTCAAGAAAACAACTAACACAAATACAAGTATGTCTTCCCTACAGATGTTATCCTCAGCTTTTACAGTCATTCTGATCTCACCAACTCTGGGAGAGAAATCAGTAAGTCTGGAGCTCCTTTTTAGTGAAGTGTTTAGCTGATTCTGTCCTTGGAGAGTTACCTCCTAGGATAATGAAAAATCACCTTTTTGGTAGCTGGGTGGAGACGAGAGCCTTGCAACCGGCATTTTCTCTCGGTGAGATTGCTGTACTGCTTCCTGCTGAGTGACCCGAGGCCTTCAGTGATTCAGAATAAATCATTTGTATTGTCCTGTAGAGCAGCAAAATTCAAGGTAGACAGCTGTGGCAAATCATATCTGCTGACACAGGGGAAAAAGACATAAATACCCTTTATGGCTTTCAGGGCCAGAATTAGTGCAATTATCTGCCACATTATGAAACATTTGGCAGTCGGAGTGTAGCTGCACTGGAAACTGAGACATGCTGGGTAGTGCTTGCTGTAATTGCTCAGTCAAAATGTGAAGGTTATGAAAAAACCAACTCTAGATCTAATCTGCAGAAATGTATGCTCCATGCAATTGCTGGAATTAACCTCCTGGATGTAATGTCAGCTCCACTTACAGCACTAATTCACTGCAGGTGTTAACTGTTCTGCATGTATTCTGGCAATCTGCATTTTTGTGCAATTTCTTCTTCCTTCTTTGACATTAAACAGCTAAACTAGGTTGTTTATAACAAGCCTTCTTACTTTAAATTTCTTATCTATTTATATTCAAGTGTAAATTCTGTCTGTGATTATCACCTGTCTCAATCTTTTGACACTTTTATTTGTGGAGACCTGTTATAGTTTCACTGAAGTGACCGAGTAGGAATAATCAGTAGTTGGAACATGAAACACATATAGGCCTTGGGGATACAAAAGTAGAATATTAAACTCGCTGCTCATTATACTTTGCAAGCCTAAATGGCATATACCTCTCAATTAGTAGCTATGGTAATATAAGCCTTAACAAAGGTTTTATATTGAAATTCTAGTTACAGGGTCATGGAAAATTATCATCATGGATTTTAAGTGCTAGGAAACTGATATCACTGTTTGTGTGAAACTGAATGTTAAATAAGCTGCCTCTTATCTATTTTTAATCTGTTGCAGTCCCTTACTTTTATCCTGCTTGCATTCAATATTTGACTGAATCATATTCACATTGGAAGAATTCTCTTCTATTATCAATATACATCTCCCTGTTCAGGGTGATGGGCCCCAAAGTGGGAATTTATGAAAAGAAGGTATGTTTCAGAAAAAGCATTACTGAGTAAAATCTTTTAGTTTTACCTAAATCTTTGAAAACAGATCCTTCTGATTTCTTCTATGGGCCTTCCTCCTCCATGTTATTTGTTTTTTTTCCAGATGAGACTGAGTTAAGGTATCTTCACTGCTGTTAAATTGCTTCACTGTCACCATTCATGTGGCTTTTCTTTTAGATTTTAGACCCTGGCATCTGTTTTTGGTCTTTTGTGACTCAGTCTTAGCATCTGCATGATGCAGCTTTCGTGTCCTTGGCTCTCTGTAGGGAACCAAAAGCACAACTTGCAGGTCTCAGGCCGGCTACTCCCCAGACTTTGCTTAGCTCCACCCTTCTCCTAACTTCTACTGTTGAATTCTTTCTGCTCGTTCTCCAAACTCTTTATTTCTGTTGCCATTTGTCCTCCTTGTGAACTGTTTTATGTTCCCCTAGTCTCTGGAAATAATTAAGAAAATGTGATGCTACACTTCTGTCAGAGATTCAACTGACGTTCCTTCAGTTTCTATGAATACTTTGTTATGCTTCAGCTTGGTAAAGAGATTTTTGGTACTAACCTTGGTAAGCAATCCTTGCATGAGTGCACAAGCAAGTTAGCCAGCCAGCTGTTTGCTGCTGCTCACTTTGACTCATTCTTTCTGTAAATTTGCAGCAAGCCTCTGCTGGCAGGGAACCTTGGCAGACCTCCTGGGCACGGCCAAGGCAAGGGACTGTGTGGATTTTTCAGCTTGCACTTTGTGGCAAAGAACTTTGAAAGGTTTAGTCTCAAGGAAACCAGGAGCTGATTCCTGATGATTGGGTTTTACTTGTTCCTTATTTGTGTTTGATTTGCACTATCACTGATTACAGGGCTTTAATGGTGAAGTGTAGAATGCATTTCAGTAGCTGCACTTTTCCTAGATTTTCTTCTAGGAATCATATTCCTGGATTTAGCAGTGTGTGAGCCTTGTTTCCCTACTGTCAGCCACATAATAAAGTTTCTGCTGGCGGCAGAAGTATCTGAACACACAGGAAGTGATTATTTTACAAAGTTAATTAAAAGCCATTGTGGAAGTGGCTGCAGAGAAAACTAAAAATGTATTCTCTATATTTGGAGTACACACCTGTTGCCAACCATGGATATCTGCTGATGAGGCATTGATACTGGAGTCAGCTGTAAGGGCTCATCCCAGTCTATAGCTTAGATTTGTTTTAGGGTGAAAGGAGAACTGGGCACCCAAAACATAGGCTGCTGGTAAGGGAAAGTGGGACTTGGTAAGTGGGGTGAAAGCTGTTTGTCTTCATGGATAGCTCGTGCAGTGTTCCTTGCTAGCAAGGAGTTAGCAGCTGGTAGAGGTGGATTTGGGAACAGATATCTAATGTAAAGAAAGGAGCTGGAAAAGAAGACAAAGGATGAAAAAATATTGCTTGTATGGCCTGTGAGTTGAGGGTATTAGTGTTGGGTAAGCAATGAATAATCTGTTAGGATTGTTGTATGCAGGAAAGGCTGGACTCGGTCAACTATGGTCTACATGCAGCCTTGCTTTTTGTGGAGAAACTGAGTTTGTCCCAAGAAAAATAGGAATCCACAAAAGAAAAATGTTAACCAACCCTAAAGTAAGTGATGACACAGTAGTTAATCCCGAAAATCTGTCTGTGTTGTACCTGGCTATAACTCTGTTTAAACCATCTTCTTTCCAAAGGAGCCCGAACTCAAGTTCTTACAGAAACAACAGTAAGTTTACAAAAGAGGAACTTAAATGAAGGCAATTGGACTGGGCCCAATGTGTATATTTGTACTTTGAAACTGCAAATGAATAATGAATGTACTGATCTGGCAAACAGAAGACTGGTGTGTTCATGTTCCACATTAGTCTCCAGAGTTTATGAATTTCTTGTTTAAATATTAATACTGTGCTGGGTGGAACTGAGTTGGTGCAGCGTGGCTTGAGAAGGCCACAGCATTTATGCAAATGTTCTCCAAGCTTCCCAATAGTTCACAGGGGGAATGCACAGGTTCTTCAGGGAATGAGATTAGAATCCTATATAAAGAATCCCTTGAGTTTAATTTTTATTCCAGCTTAGCATGGAAGTTCAATCATTATTTATTTTAAGAATATAAATATGTGGGAAAAGCAAGCAAGAAAGAAAAAAACCAAACCCAACTTGTTAATGGGAGCACCTAGAAGTTCCCCTGCATGATGTGCCTGATGTCTGTGGATTTATAAATTAATATACTGAAGCACTTTATTACTTATGAGGGTTTTTTCTGGGCCTTTCTGGTAATAAGACATTCCAGTGATCAAAGTTCACTTCATAAGCTAAGCTAGAACGAAACTAATCTCTTCAACCCAGTGTCAGAGAGTGCTGGCAGATTTCTGGGGCTTTTTCTCCTGTTTCTCTATCCTTGATTTTCTGAACCTTGAGTCTGAGTTACTGTGAGGTTCTGATGTGCTGCCACAAAGATTCATTGTGTTGTGCACCACTGCAGCAAACTGGAGCTCTGTCACTGCGAAGGTCCCAGTGTTGGGAACCCACCAAACTGTGGGTCCTTGTCACAACAATTACTTGTTCTAAATGGGGCTGGAACTCTGTTTTTATCCTGTCACTCAACTGGCTGCTTTGCTAAATTATCTTGGGCACTGGGAGGACTCCCTGTGTGACTCATGATTAGCCCCTGATCTGAGAGCTCCTAAACTTTATCCACCTCCTCTTCCCTTAGGGTCCCTCTCAGTCCCTTGGCTTGTGAAGAGCAAAGACTTTACAATGGCCTCCTGCTGTATTTGCTTCAACACCATGAGATGCTTTTTGTTGACCTGAACCCTTGTTTCTCACAGAGACAAGCAGATGGCCTTCAGGTAAGAAAGTTACTGTGACTGATTCAGCAAGTAATCAAGCACTTCATTATGTTGGAACTTACAAATGGAAATATATTTGCTTATCCATAGTGCAAATAATGACTGCAGCTTGTTCCCAGAAATAAATATTCACGATATACCTAAGCCAGAGGGGAAACACGAGTATTTAAAATTTTGATTTTGAAAAGTGTGAAAGGTAAACAATAAAATTTGAAGTTGTTTCCACTTTAAATGTGTTAATGCCAAGCTTTGTCAGATCAAAGCCACTGAATTTTTCCTTGAGCGAAGCACTTCTTATTTTGCATGTATGTTTTGTCTATACATTGGTGATGCAGAAAAGCAAAATCAGAAGGTTGGAAACCCTTCTCTCCCTTTTAAGAAGTCTCTGTGTGTGTTTCAGCCTCTCCTTGGGTATTTTCTATTGTAAAACCTTGTTAGTACTTTGATTCATTTTTTTTTTTGCCTCTGTCAAAAACTCCTGGTGGAGGAAACATGATGGACAAACGCTGGTTTAGGGAGAGGGTCAATATAAATCTTATTTTCAGTTTGTGATGTGATGTGTCATTGCTGCTTAAGTTGAAATTGATTTTTAGAAAAAGACACACAGTTCCTATACATCCTTGTGGCTCATGACTAGACTGGTAGCAGTGTGCCAGGTAAAGTGAGGGACTATGAAAGAGATTTACATTGTATGTAAGTGTAGATGCTGCTGCTGGTGTTTATTACTCCTTAATTTTCTGTCTTCTTTCTCCAAGTACCACTGTTAAGAAAAATCATCAAACTACAAAGTCATATTCAGTATTTAGAACATATTATATGTCCCAAGCAAAATATCAAGACTGGAATGCTCCTTGGAAGCTTTGTTTTAAAATAAAACCCGTCCAGATGTAGGTACAAAGAACAGAATTCATGGATACAGGGATATTTCTACAATACTGCTGCCATGTCACGGCCCCAAATCTAAAACAGGGAGCCCATGTCTCCAGCTCCCCTTTCTCTCTGAAGAAGTCCTGTATCACTACCACCTTTGAGAATTTCTGCAACCTGTATTCAAATGAGAAAACCAAATAGAAATTTAGCTGTCCCACTGTATCTGCTTCTGCTTGCAAAGCTAGAAGAAGCATCAGCAGCTAAAAGAAATTGGAAAGGTATTAGAGAAGCCAGGAAACCTGGCTTTCTGTTACAGTGCTTTTGTCTAAGAACCAACTCCACTCCCTGTAATTCTGCAAAATGTCACAGTCTGTCTGGGATTGTGGTGATGTGGGAAAGACTTCTGCTGAAAAGATCCTTTCAAGTTCTTTAATAAAACCTCAGACAAGGCATAGCCATGGGGCACTCTCCTGCTCTGAGCTTACGAAAGCTTACGAAAAAAATCCCATCTGTGGGTGAGAAGGGAACTCAGTATTCTGTGGCTGGTCTTGTTTTTGTAATTTCTGGCAGGAAACCCAGCAAGCTGGATAGGTACCCTTCATCTTTCATAATACAACAATTGCTCAAAGTCCACTAAACTGGAAACATCAAAGTTAGGTTTACATACTAAACATATTAAAAGTGCGTGTTTTCATTCCAGCAAAGAAAGCAGAAAGTGAAATGGCAAACCTGGCTTGGATCCCTTGTTGTGTCCTGGAAATGAAACTTGCTTTTACTGGCTTTTACACAGATACTTGACCTAATTTCTGTGGTTTCGTTGCTGTTGGGGTGCCCTTTTGCTTTTTTTTTTTTTTTTTTTCCTCTTCAACATTTTAGGTTAACCTAATTAGTTGAGCTCTGACAAATTAAAGCCATGGCAATCTGGCAGGGTTGCCATACAACTGACACAGGCTTAACCTTCAGCTGTATTGTTTGTAGGCTGAGGTGGGCAGATTGTTCTGAGCAGAGTGCTTGGTATCTCGAAACACCAGGAGTCATCCCACTTACCCCGTGTCTGCAGGATGATCAGATTGACAGGCTGGGAGATGAATCTGTAGGTTTTTGAAAGGCACCAGTTTAATGTTCAGAACTATTTAATAGTTCAGAACTATTACCCTGGGCTGTACAGTAGATTATTCACAGTCACCTATTCTCTATAAAGATAGTGATTTAAAAGTTATATCTAAGCTATGATGTATTTTACTCTTGTCTTTTTTTCTGGCCATTGTATGTTGTACATACTTTATTTTTTTCCCCGTGAAAATAGAGTCAGAATTCTGTACCCCAGGATGGGGTTTTGTCTTTGTTCCCTTAATAATTTTTTTTTTTTCCCATCTCAGAATTCACTAACATTTAAAGCTGCCCTATAACCTTCTGTCTTAGCTCACAAACCTCACTTGTACTAAACTGATTTTCCTATTTGGATTAAATACTTCTTTAAAAAGAGGTTAGACCCTGTGGTGTTTGTTTGGACCTGAGGCCTCTCTGGATAGCTGTGTTTTAACCTGAGGCTCATCACTGGCTATGCTGGAGGTCTACCAGATAATCTTAACTTCTATAGAGTAATTTAATTATGAAGCAAACCTTGCTAATAGCAATTTGCCATGCTGTTTGCCATTGTTGTTTCTGAATTTTAAATTATAGATAAAAATTGACTATAGATTTTTTTTTGCATCTAGTACAAGAGTGTTTCTCCCTTGTGCAAAAGTCACGAACAAATCCTTCCTGAATTATCCCCACTACCTTTGTCTTGCAAGCAAAGAGAAGCATGATTTCATGGGTGTGTACAAGCCACTGCATGTATCTCCATTAAAGCATGGGTTTGGTTAGAAGAAATGCCTCCACCCTGAGGAAAGGAGCCTCATTTCTTGTTTTCTTCCCTTTCTTTGTCCTTTAATCATGATTTACTGTGTATCAGCAAGGCTGCAGGGATTGCCTATTGATTGGGTCCCTTGTGGCTTCTCATTATAATCCAAGGAACGCCATTATAAAGGGATTGCAGAGATCCAGGGGACGGGGGAAGTGGAGCTGGACAGGATCCTGGACCTGCAGGTTGACCACAGACATCTCAGAATGAAATTCTAAAACTGCAGTGTGGTTTGGAGCTGACCAGAAGAGTGCAAATAAATATTTCATGGATACTTTATCTACTTCAATTATGGCTTTATTGGGAAGGCTTTTGAGGTCTGGAGAGTTTTGTTAATCTTGTGGTTTTAGCCTTTTTCAAAGAGGATATGGATGTTTCAGCATTAAATCTGTTCTGTGAAAAAAATGTGGTGCCTCACTCCCATCTGAAGGTGCCATAAAAGAGAATTACAGTCTAAATGGAATCTCCCCACTTTGGAGGACAGCAATAATTTAGCTGATGCTTTACTTTGCTAATCCCATGACAAGGCTTGTTGAATTAGCTGAAGCCTTTCAGAACAAATAAGCAACCAAAAAACCAGATACTATCTCATGATCTGAAGTTTCCAGGTTAGACTAAATTGTCTTGTCAAAATGATTTTTTTTTGATAGGGGAAAGTAGTTCCAATTCCTACTTGAGTCTCTTAACAAATTGTTTTCCTAATTTTAGAGTGGTGAAGGTCTGGATTACTTTCTTTCCTTTAAGTTCTTTATGTAGCAATGGTGTATATTGTTGGCTTTAGATATGAACATAGCAAATCCTGCATGTACCATGTGAACTGCCAGGACATTTGTCAATTTTTACACAGAGATTGCTGTTACATTATAGAAAGACTTCTTCATAATATTTCCCATTGCACAGAAAAACTATTTTCCCTAGTCTTTGTAAATTTGGTCCAACACGGACTCATTAAAAATTACATTTTAATTTTTTATTTGAGTACTGAGCAAACCAGAAGACTGGATGAAAAATGCCATCCACAGAGGTCAAAGTAGGACATATATCCCCACCAAAAAAAATAATGGCCAATAGATTGTAAGGATGTGGGGGGTTTCTTCTGGAAAAGCAGCGCAGAATATGTTACTGACTGTAGGCATAAGGATTTGATAAAAGCTGCTGTAGCCTAATTGAGTTTGACTCTAGAACAGCCCAGGTGGGTGTGGCTGGAGTACCCATTACTCCTTCTGGGTCTGAAGTGCCAGAGCCTTTCTGCCTGTGGGTGGAGGGAATAGGGCAGGGAGAGAGCGAGGTCCTTTCCTGTGCTGTGCCTGGGACCTGCAGCAGCCTTTCCTTTGTGCTGGAGATCTGTCACTTGGAAACGACAAGCGTGCCTGGTCTCCATTTTTGGTGAACTGCAGGGTGTGGAGGAAATGTCACTGATCTAATGTTTGCTCCAGCATTGCTGGGGGTTTCTCTTGACTTGCTGTACAAATGCTCTGGGACACTGCTGTCATTCTTCAACCCCACAGCTGGGTTTTGCTGCTCTCTGCTTTTCTCTCTTCCCCCTTCCCACATATGGGGAATTTTTTTTCTTTTCCTTTTTTTTTTTTTTTTCCCCTCTGGGGAAGGCTGCCCTAGGAGAGGAGCTTGGCAGGAGAGGGTGTGCTCTGTGTCACGCCACTGGCTGTGCTTTACTGTAACAAGCAGCTTGAGTACAGAGGAGAGAAGCCGGTCAGGCTGAAGTGCTGAGACTTTTCATTGCCATCAGTAATATAAGAACAGAGCTTGGGCACTCACACTGGCTGATTACACTGATCACTGTCTGTTGTTCAATAAGGATATAAAGAGTGGGAGAGGGACTAGTTCTAAAACTAAAGCCTTTCCTGGCTTGGAAATATAGTTTTGAAGGCACTAAGGGTACAGAAACTAACTCAGTGGAGACTTGTCTCTGTTACTTAGTCTGTGAATGCCCATTTTCAGTGTGGCTGAGAATACAGCATAAAGCTCTCACCATGTCCAGACTCACAGAATCTGTGTAGATTACAGATTAAGGAGGTTTATCTGCAGTTTGTGAAAGGGAGCAATACCTGATGTGTTCAGAGTGGTAACCAGTTGCTTTGCTCAGTGACATCAGCTACAAGGAGAGGATTATAATTAATCAGCTGGTGTATCCCTTAGGAAAACACAGTTCTATGCTTTCAGAGGATCTGTGTGGTCTTCCTCTGATATTTAAAACATTTCCCACAACACCCAACCCTAAGAC